CAAAGATCTACTGGCAAAAGCAATGGGTCTGTCACCCTTCTCATCCATGTGGGACAAGACTGCTCCTACACCATCTGGTGAAGCATCACATGTTAATATAAGTCTTTTCCCTGGGTCATAGTGAGTTAGTAAGGTGTCAGAAGACAAAGCCTCTTTTGCTGTATTAAAAGCAGTATCTTGTTGTTTACCCCAGTGCCAAGTTGCATTTTTCTGTAGCAGCTTGTACAGTGGTGATAGTTTACCAGACAGATTTCCTATGAACTTTGCATAATAATTTATCAAGCCCAAAAAAGCTCTTAGTTGTTGGGTATTTTCAGGTTTGGGTGCTTCCTTAATGGCTTTTGTTTTCTCAGGTTGAGGTCTGATGCCTTGCTTGCTCAATATATAACCAAGAAAACTAATTTCTGTCAACATGAATTGACATTTATCTTTGTTTATCTTTAAACCTTTTTCACCAACAATTTTTAATACTTTATCAAGTGTTTTAAGATGTTCAGTGTCATTCTTACCAGTTATGTACACATTGTCAAAGTACACACAAACATTTGGAATGTCCTTAAAAATACTGTCCATGACAGCTTGGAAAATTCCAGGGCTAGATGATATGCCAAAACATAGTCTTTCATATTGGTAGAGTCCTTTATGTGTGTTTATTGTCGTATAGACTTTTGAATCTGGATGCAGTTCTAGTTGAGTGTAAGCATGACTAAAGTCTAATTCAGTGAATTTGTCTCCTCCTGCCAAATTCAAAGAAATTCCCTCAATGTTAGGTATAGGGTACCTATTTAGCTCTATTTGCTTATTCAGTGTAGTTTTATAATCTCCACAAATTCTTATAGAACCATCCTTCTTTAACACTGGCACAATGGGTGTCGCCCAATCGGAATAGTCTACCTTCTTTATAATGCCATTAGATTCCAATCTACTTAGCTCATTTTCAATTTTATTCCTCATTGCATAAGGTGGAACTCTAGCTTTGCAGTATCTTGGATTTGTGTCTTTAATGCTTAACTTCACTGTTCTATCATTTAGTAAACCTGAATTACCAAAAACACATTTATTTTCAGATATAACTTTATCTAGTGAAGTAAGACTAGATTCTTTTACATTCTTCAATGAACAAATACTCTCCCAATTTAACTTAAGATCACTTAACCAGTTCCTACCTAGTAATGGCGGTCCATTTCCTTCAACCACAAGAAGAGGAAGTTTAACACTTTGACCATTATAACTTACATGAACCATACACTCTCCTATTACCGGAACATTGTCACCAGTGTATGTTGTTAGACACTTGTGGCATGGCTGTAGAGGCACTGATCCTCCTGTGACAGCGTCAAAATCTTTCTTTGTTATGACTGTTAGAGATGCTCCAGTGTCAAGTTGGACGCTGATGCTCTTACCGTTGATATAAACTTGTACATTGATGGGAGCATGACTTATTGATTTAACAGAGAACAGGTTGAAATCCGGCTGCAAATCAGTTTGAGCATTTTCACAGGTAGAGTGGTTCATTGGTTGGGTTAGGTAGTCTTGGTGAGAGTTAACATAGTGCTGCCTTTGGTTGCGGTACTGTCTTGACTGGCTAGATTTAGCAACAGACGAAGACTTTGCAAAGCAGGCCTTGGCAATGTGACCTTGCTTACTGCACTTATAACAAGTTGCAGACTTGAACTTGCATCGATGAGATGCATGGGGACCTTTGCATCGATGACATTTTTGATAATTATTACTAGATTTAGATCTAGGATTTGAACGAGCAGGCTGTTTAGCATAAGTTGGAATGCTCTGTTGGGGTTGATGTTTATTGACTAACCTGCTGTTTACTGCATGGATCCCTGAAGGCGTAAGAGATTTCGCCGCATCTGATGACTGCTGGAATGAAGTTGCAAGTTGTATTGCTTTTTCTAATGTTAGATCTGACTCGAGCAGCAACTTTCTTTGAATATCAGGACTGTTTACACCTGTCACAAACTTTTCAAATATTCTGTCAGACAGCGTGTCTCCGAATTCACAGAATCTACTTAAATGACGTAAAGCAGCAACATATTCTGATATTGACTCGTTTGGTTGACGAGTCCTACTGTCAAATCTAGCTCGACATAGAAACTTTGATGGTACAGGCGCATGGTGGTCTGTTAGCAATTTGCTCAGCTCGTTAAAGCTCTTGGTAGTTAGACTAGCTGGTGCGCATAAGTCCTTTAGTAGCCTAAATTGTTGAGGCCCTATGACTGTTAACAAAACAGCTCTCTTTTTGGCTTCTATCGTCACGTCGTTAGCTTCTAGGTAAAAGCTTAACCTCTCTAGGTAATCTTGAATGATTTCATCATTCGCATCAAATTCTTTTATTTGGCCATACAGCGCCATAATTCTAGAAATAATTAGCTAATAAGCTCTAGCAAACCTCTTTTTTGCGTAAGTAGGTGCTCTTTCTAGTAGATGTTTATCCTTCGTCGCCAAATGAGGTGGATTGTAATGACTGACGAGAAGCCGCGTTGGTTGTTAACAGCCTTTATTATGTACAGACGCCATGATGCGAAGAGAGAGAAAGCAGGTGGCGAGAGAGAACTATTTATAGATAACAACATGTAAGGGACATCACTCAAGATAACAATATAAATATAATACTAATACAGAGAGTGAGTTCCCTTGACCTCACAATTATTTCAATCTATTACAGTACCAAATCTCATCAGTTTCATTTACGCATTCATCGAACACTTCTTTTAGTTCTATCGTTCGCGCAGACAAAACACGATCGTGAATCATATGACAAGTCGGGTGTGTGTCTTGACCTCCGCCGAAACATTTGATACTGACTCACTGAGCCCCTGGGGTTTGATCGTACCCATGTTAAGAACCACTGATCTATACAGATGAGTGGTTCGTGACGGTTCATGCCTGAAGATTTGAGGAATTTTAAATACTTATATTTAAAGGGGTTGTAACGATCGCAAGTGAGATGGCTTTATGACAAAGACAAGCGCTTTTGTTTGTTTGTCTGTCGCTCCGCTAGGCGCATGGAAAAAAAATGACATTCAATGCATTCCTTAAACAAGACACTTTATTTATGTTTTATGTAAATGTCTGGGTGATCGGTCTTGGTGGACAGGTATTGGTAACTTCGTTAAGCTCTTACGTTAAGAAAGGCGGTTGTTGTTCTCAATTGGTATGTTTACATTTTTATGTAATAAATACCCTACTTTGTGACAATGTCATGAAAATTTACTCAATGAGTGATTTTATATTTAAATTCTATTTTGTTCGGGAGGGGTGTGTTAGGCGTGCTTCGGCGGGGGTGGGGCAAAGTCCCCCAAAGAGATATCTGAAAGAAACTCTAGGATCAATGGGAGGAGAGTGGCGACGAATCAGCATAGACCTGTTAAGCTCCATGTTTTAACGAGAGGTGTAGCTAGGGGAGGGCGGGTGGGGCGTCCCCCCACCCCTTGCGCCGACCATGGTGTGGCGCCAAACGGGGTAGAAAAAAAAAAATGCCCAATCTGGTAGTATTACAGCAGTGGCGGAACTAGAAAAAAAGGGCCACCCCGCAAAGAAATTTTTTGGGCCCCATATATGTATAATACATATATATATATATATATATATATATATATATATATATATATATATATATATATATATATATATATATATATATATATATATATATATATATATACATATACATATATATATATATATATATATATATATATATATATATATATATATATATATATATATATATATATATATATATATATATATATATATATATATATATACGAAAATACCAACACAGAATTCTCATTTTGGGCTTGTTCGAAAATTTAAAAATTAAAATCACTAAAAATACTTAGTTTTTATTAAAAAGTAAAAACAAGTTACAACAGCTCATTTGTGTGACTGCTATTAGTCTGTTTTGAAATCTCTGTTTTAACATGTTTTATTGTTTGCTATGATGCCTCCATGAGTAAGACGGTCGAAATAATATAAAGCATGAAAGCTGTGTATGTGTAATGGTTTCTCGCCTTATGTTTATTTTTATGTTTTTTTTAATTATATTATTAGCTTTAAATGCATTTCCTTTTATGCTTTGTTATTCTTTATTATGTATTTTTAAAAAAAATAATAATTAAGAGAAGTAATTGCTTTTTAATTTGTTTAGTGCAAATTTATTAAAAGGTGCTTAAGAGCACACATATTTGACTATTTAAAAAAGGGAAACAAGTCATGGAAGTGGTTTCAACAATTGCGTATCTTTCACGCGATGGGTCTATTTTCAAAAGAATTTTGCCGACAACAGCGTGTGTTTGATTGTAGGAGAAATGGGACTTGAGATGGTGTCTATAGAATAAAGATAATCCAACCGCAGCTGCAGTATTCTTTTTACAAAACAACCATGAAGTCAAAAATGAAAGAAGATTATTTTTTTTTAACTGTAAAAAAATGGATTATGGTCGGCTGCGGGCCCCTAAACGTCCCGGGCCCCCCCGCAATGCGGGGTCTGGCGGCACTGTAGTTCCGCCCCTGTATTACAGTCGAAGTTTTAAAAACAATAGACTGCATATGGCTTTACGGACTAATATAAACGTTTTCTGCATCTATTGTGTGACACTAAAATAAAAACTGTTGAGAAGGGGCGCTTTTTTTTAGTCAACGTGATTAACTATTTATAAATAGGGGTTGAGGAGGAAAAAAATTCGCTCCCGGCGCCGGAATAGGTCGCTACGCCTCTGGTCAAACATTATTTCAGTGGGGTTTAGATGTAAGACTAACCACTAGTTATTAGCTGAACCCCTTCACTTAATGCTTATTTAATTGTTGGTTGTTTTTAATCTCATATTTATTAAAAATTCGTTTAATCCAATGCGATAATTTCGGTTTTATTGACTAATAGCTAGGCCTATTAACGTTTTATTAAAATGGGACGGTTATTGTAAACGCGATATTATTTTTTAAAGTCATGTACCGGAAGTTAAAACAATTTCCTTCTATACGTGTTTTCCAAAATGTCGGACAGAACTAAGAAAGAAAGCACCCCTCCTCCTTTGCTGCTAATGCCAGCTGGGGGCGGGTTGACGCTTAATCCACCTGATCAGTCCAATATTTTTATGCCTGTTGTTCAGTCAGTTCCCACTATGATAGATCCCGGTCAGTATGACTTGTAAAATATTACTTTGTCCAATCGGTCCTCTGTCCGCCCTGTTCTGAAGTTGAAAGTCTAAAATAAAAATTATAAAAATAAAAATAAAAACAACTAGCCTAGGCCTAAAATCTAAACTGAATAGGTAGCCTATTTAAAATTTAATTTATTAATTTCATCTTAAACTCATTTCTGATGGAATTTTGTTAGTTAGGGCCTAACTAATTGTTAGCATCTAGGCCGCCGGCGCCAGGCCTAGATCTACTCTATGAGTATTTTAATTTTCTAGATTCAAGTAGTTTAACTTTGTAGATTCAATCATTATGTGATGATTAAGGGTACCCAGTGATTAATCAATTCAATACAATACGTCCTAAAATGTTCTATGATTACAAAATCTCACACATTTTAAAGTGGCATTCTCCAAATTAAATTTATCCAAAAACAATTATCTAGATCTAGATCAAAATTCTATTTCTAAGTATGAAATGATAAAGACTCAGCCTAAATTTATCTTAAAAACCATCTGCTTTTTAAAAACTAGATCTACAAACAACTGAACTGATAGATCTATATTTGTAACAGAGAGATCTAATTTTTTACATTACTTTAGGCTACTTATTAATAAACCTTAATTAGGCCTAGGCCTACAAAAGTATAAAATAAAGAAAAGTGAAACGTATAGATCTAGGCCTAAATAATCTCTTGTAATGTATTTGTAAAAAGTGTATATGGTCATTGATATAGGCTATATTCAAGTCAGTTGTTTTTTCACAGAAGAAGAAGCTGAAGCAGACAGTTTTGTAGGACAATCATCAGGTCCTCAAACAAAGCCTGGGATACCTAACTATTTCCAGTCAACAACAAGTAGTGGACATGACCCATTTTCACAGATAGGACATGCAGCTCCGCCCCCTTCAATAGCATCTACATTTTCTCCCGCAAATGTTATATCTAGGAGTGCAACGCCACCTTCATCTAATCAATCACCGTTAACGTCTGCGGCAACGATAGCTACACCACCTGTTTTACCAGCTAACTCAAGTATGTCAGGTTTATTTTACATTTTTAATGTTCATTATATTTATGATAGCAATAACAAATACTTAAATTGGCTGAGGTGTAAAATGTATTTAACGTTTTTCTTTAAATATTACAGATACTGGCAACATTTACAGACATCAGGGTGGCCGTCCTCAATATGCTCAACCACCAACAAGCTTCTCTCCCCTTACCCAGCCCACACCACAGCCCCCTTCTGCTATGCTGCCTCCCATGACATCCCCATCTAATTCTTTCCCTCCTCACAATCATTCTATGAACAGCCCTCCTTCTGGGCCACCCTCTGGCTATAGTTCTCCAGCTGGGCAGGATGCTGCTGGACAGTACACTGGAGGGTTGTACTATCAACCTGTCAGGCACCATTGGTGCTATCAGCAGAATCAGGACGGCATGGAGATTTGGAGACCATTTTCTGTGGTGGACAGTACACAGCTAGAGTTGGCCTTTAACGCATGTAATATTATTATTTATATTAATAGCTTTAAATATTAATATAATTAATATAATTATAAAATTTTATTTGTTATTGTTTTTAAGTCAATTATACTTTTTCATAGTAGTCAAAATACAGTATTTATTGTAACTTCTGTGTTTTGTAGGCTTGCAAGAGTCTTCCAACCATATTGTAAACACAAATGGTGGTCGCTATGATGTCAATGTTGCTCAGCGAAGGCGCACACCAGTTTATTGGGTGGGTGAACCTGTTCCAGTTAGGAGGTGCTCATGGTTTTATAAAAGAGAAGGAGATAATAGATATATTCCTTATGATGAAGAATTTGCTTTCAAATTGGAGGTAATTTATAAAACCTGATTTAAAGGAGAAATAAACAAGTATTGAAATAGGTTTAAAATAATTATAAAATAGTTGGTGCAAGTAAAAAAATTTCTAGGAAATTTTGCTTGGATTTAAATTAAATTTATTTGTTGTAATCTTTTGTTTTTCTATAGAATGAATATAAAAAAGCAATGGAGACCAATGGCTGGCACCGCAGGCTGGAATTTCCAGGAAATGTTGTGATTGTGATGCACAATGCTAATGTTATTGTTCAGTTCCCAGCTTCTTCTGCCCCTGATGAATGGGGAAATGTGCAGGTAGGTCTTGTCTCCCTTTCCCATTGTTCTTTTACTTAGCTTTGTACTTTAAACAGCAGTGTTCTGTAAATACTACAATTTTTGAAGCTAGAAAATAATAACTTAGCCTTTCTAACTTAAATGCATGAGAAGTATAGTCAATAGTGTGCTGCATATTTGGTGAAACATTGATTGCTTCGCAGGAATATTTCTAGAAGCTGAAAAGCACTAAATGAAAAGGAATGTAGTTTTTTTAAAAATAAATCTCAACAATAGTATTTAGTTCAAAGATTTATTTTAACTTCAAGCTGACTTATCTTTTGATTCCTTTTCACTTTGTCAATTAGAATGTTTATTCACTAACGGTGAGTGTTAATCTAGTATACAAAATTGTCTGGCCTTTTTTTCACTCAACCATTGATAAATGTATATAGAGCTTTGTAAAAAAAAGTTTTCTTTTTTACTTTAAAAAAAAAATCTGAAATACCTTTTTAGTAGTAATGAATGTTGTTTTAGCATGCTTCTTTTGGCTGTACTGTGCTTTAAACATTTAACATAAAATTCATTGTGTTACAAAATATCTACAAAATCTATTGTGTTTGTTTAATGCAGGGGTCTCCAAACTTTTCAGTCCGAGGGCCGCATCATCTATCAATTTTTATTTCGGGGGCCAGTTTCTTCCAGGCATGTCTTTGATTTTTCTGGGCAAAGTTCCTCAGCCATCACTAACAAACGTTTTTTCCGCGGACAAAAAGATATCCGCGGGCCGGATGAGAGGACCTCGCGGGCCGCATTCCTCCCGCGGGCCGTAGTTTGGAGACCCCTGGTTTAATGCATCATAATGATCCAAAGAGTGAACATTTTAGGGTATTTGTAGCATGAAGTTTATTTTTACAAACCCAGATCTTATGATGCACAAACTGTATTTAAATGTGAAAAATCATATTATATATTTTTTTTGCAACTACAATCGCTTATTCTGTATATAAATAAATAATATTTCTGGAATGTACTTTACTTAATTTATTCAAATTTATCAGGAAAAATAGTTTAAAAATGTTAGTTGATTTTTTCATTGTTGTAATAAACAATAAACTAATTTTTTAAAGTAAATTTTTTACTAATCAGTTGTTTCTTAATTTCAGTAAACATTTTTGAAGTTTCTTATTAACAGTTGAAATATTAATAAAAAGTTAAATCTTTAGTTATTATCTGCTAAGTAGTTTTATTTTATTTTGGACAGCTGTGTATTTCACTTAATTTTAAGTGAGCTTAAAAATTGTAAAAAACATTTGTGTTTCTATCTTATTTAGTGTGATAAACATTCTACTGTTAAAGTTGTAAAAATAAGTATAGCATGATGGATTTTTAGTGTGTCTGTTTAAAATGTTTATATATTTTATCTTTCCAAGGGAGATCAAATGAGACCAAGAGTGGTGAAAAGGGGTGTTGATGATTTTGCCACAATTGAATACGGTAATAGAACATTTTTTTTCGTTATTTATATAATAATACATTCTCCTAAGACTAATTTGTGCAAATGCTGTTTTTTTTTTTTGCTTTAATAATCTTTTAAAAAAAATTTACCCACACAAAGTTGTCTCTAAAGTTCAAATAATTCAACATCAGCTTCATATTGGGGAAAATAATATTCATTTGTATCTTTGTTCATATAGGAGAAAGAAAAGAAGTGGATCATCTTGTGTTTTTTGTTCCTGGTATTGAGGATATGTCCAGCAAAAAAGGGAGCTCAGTGGAGGCATTAGGTTAGTTAAGAATTCATATTGCTGCATAATTTATCCCCCCCCCCCCCCCACACTGTTTCAAATTTGAAATTAAGTTGATGTAACGTAGATTTTCTTTGAGGCATTGAAATTATTGTTTTATTTTACTGGGATTAAAAAGGTGCAACTGGGTGGGGGGGGTTCTGGAAAGTAGCAGATCAATAAATTGAGTTAGAAAAAGTTAATTATTTTAATAACTTTATCACCATCAAGTCATTCTTTGCTATATTTGCTATTTGAGTTTCAAGGTAATATAAATTTGTTTATTCACTATGAATATTGTTTTCATGATTGTCTCCCCTCCCCAGTGGATGGTTTCCGCAGCATATCATTGTCCCTTGTACAGTCCCACTTCACTCAAGCCTTTCAGTCTCAGTCAATCAACAGGGTGGAGTTTCTCCCCATTGTCTGGACACAGGCTTTCCAAGATGGTGCTTCAGCCCCTAAAGAGTAGGTCTCATTTTTTACTGTTTAAAAATTAAAAGCCCTTGATAAGCCCTCAAAACCTTACTCAACTATTTGAAAGTTTTTTAAGCCAAATTACAATTTTGTTTGTTAGATAGTATTAAGTTTGAAAATTAAATTTAAAAACACGACAACTATCATATAGTCTATTTTGTATTGTATTGTATTTTCCTTTATTCTTAGTAATATTATATTAATATCTACTTAGCTACAAAAAACAACTAGCTTTAAAGTTTAGAGCTTGGAAATGGCTAACTTTTTTTGGTGTTAAACTAACTGAAATTTGTTATAAATTAACTGCTGTTAAAAATATCTTTGCTTTTAAAAATTCTTACAGCAAAATTAGCAGTGTTACATTACCAAGCACCTCAAAGTTGCGACACTTTATCAACAACACCTTAGTGGACACCATGTTTTACACAAGTCCTTTGTTTTGCCAGGTAACAGCATAATCGTAAGGAATAGAATAGTTTGACTTTTAATTAGGTTTCTTTAGTTTCCATTTACATTTGGTTTTATAGTTTATATATATTTGTACAAACAAAGGGTAGTGATTGTCAGATGGAGTTAGGACAATATTTAACCACACATTATTTTACCATCAGAAAATCTGTGAAGCTGTGGGTATTGAGATGAACAGAATGTTCCAGATATTTTTGGAGAGAAATACATCTTTTAGTGGAGATGTATCAGTAGCAGGACACAGTCTTGGTAATGTATTAACATCTTTCACAAGTTTTATTTATCTTACTTAATTAACATAAACACTTTTAATAAATGTAAGATACCATGATTGACCTACAATTTCAGAACTTAAAAAAAACTAGTTTCATTTTATTTTTCTCACTTTATCATAGGTTCTGTAATCTTGTTTGATCTGCTGTTAAACCAAAGACAGCCTGGAGATGTACTGTCAAACAGTGTAGAGCCTAATGCCCTAACACAGGTTAGTCAAAGCTTTTTTTATATCAATGATGTTCTTGTTAAATCATACTCAAATAATGTAGCAATAAATGATACATTTTGGGTATTAAAATGCAGGGTCATTTATTATTTATCAAGTATACATACTAATAATGAATATACACATTCAGATTGGTATCCACTTAGTTCTGTTTTTTAAAACAGTTTTAAATTTCCTGACATCTTAATACAGCGTAACAGAATAAGATTTTAACTTGAAAGTCCATTTTTAAAAAAAAATTGTTTATGCCCACCTATTTTTTTCATCATTAGTCCACTCCAATAGATTCAGCCCAAGAAGTGAATGGCAAAGAGGATTTGTCACCAAGTGATGAGGCAGAAAGTAATGAAGTGATAAGCCTTGAGTCACTCCTGTCAAAGGTGGGCTTACAAGACAAGGCAGATTTGTTTCATGCTGAACAGATGGATGTTGAGTCTTTAGTAAGTCTAACTTATATTTGTTTTATAAAATAACACATCTTAAGTACTAAATGATCCTGAACTATTTCTATGCCTTGAATTTTTGTAAATCACGCTAATTTTAGTTAGTTTTCTGTAAGATAAATTCCAGATTAATAACTTGTTGAGTTTCGTATCAGAAAGAATTAAAATCTATTTAGATTATGTGCACTGAACAAGATCTGAAAGACATTGGTCTTCCTTTAGGACCTAGAAAGAAGCTTTTGGGATATTTGAAAGATGAAAAAGAAAAGAAGGTAAAAATTGTTATTATTACTTTTTGTATAGAGTATAATATTATTATATAACTATTATATAACCTCTTTAATGAAGGTTATTTACATTTTCTGTCTTTTTAAAATCTTGTTTTATTAGCATAATTAGCATGTGTGCTCTAATACCTAATAAAATTAAATTGAATTGTGATGTGAAACAGAGTTATGCACATATTTTGTATCTATTAATATGATTTTGATATTGGTCTAAAGGATTTAAAAGAAAAAGAACAAGCTGAAAAGAAAATTAGGGAGGAAATTGAGAAGGCTCAAAAACTTGCCAACCTAGCAGCTGCTTCTAATCAATCAAAAATTCTTGCCCAGTAAGTTTTTATTTTATAATCTGTTGCTACAGGTATTTTGATAATAAAATAACTAGATGAAAATTGTAAAATATGTTATGTTCTAAATCCTATTAGAGATAAAGAGATTGTGGCCAAGTACATACAGGGGCAGAGTGGAGCGGGGCAGTTGAAAGTCTCATACCCACAGTTGGACTTCACACCTAGTGCTCTGTTTGCTCTAGGATCTCCTATAGCTGTCTATCTATCTCTGAGGGGTGTTCAAGATCTCGGAGAGTTCTTTCAGTTGCCAACATGTCCAAGAGTGTATAATATTTTCCATCCTGTAAGTTTATTTGATAATACTACACTTGTCTATGCCATATCTAAACAGCACTTAGATCTTTCTGTTTAGCTTTTAGTAGAAAACTGATAACATCAAGTTTTAACTATAATATTTATAATTACTGATAAAATTTCCTAATAAAGATTTAATGATTATATAAAAATCTTCTTGAAGGAAGTGTTTTATATTGAACTATAGGTTATTTCATCACTTTTAATTACAAGACTTCACTGGTCTGTACACAATTTTATAATAATTGTAAGATGTTGATTTTAAAAAAAAGATTTCTACACAGTTTTCATTTATTTTATTTTTGTAATCTATTTGCAGTTTGATCCCATGGTAAGTACTTTTTTTTGCATTTCAATTTCAGTGTAACATAAATATTTTTATTGCTACTCAAAATCTTTGATTAATCCACCATGAAAACTAATTAAAAAAAACATTTCCTAGGCCTACAGACTTGAGCCTTTAATTAGGTCCAATACTGCTACAATAAAGCCAGTTTTAGTACCACACTACAAGGGTAGAAAGCGATTGCATTTAGGTTTGTATGTTTGAAATTTTATTTGGTAGCTAAAAAGTAAATTTTGACGTCACTAAACATTGTAACTGGATTAAAAAAATATGCTTAAAAACAAATACTAAATAGATCAGTAGGGTTATAATTATTTTTTTTGTTATGAAATATTTGTTTAAAGATAATAAGTGTCTTGTCCATAAAATCTTAATCTCAGAATTTAAGGAAGCTGTGACAAGGTATGGAACGGACATAAAACAAAAGATAATAGATTCCTTCAAGAGTACATGGAACACAATCAATGATTTCGCTCGTGCACACAAAACTGATGCATCCAAGTCTATGGAAAAAGAAGTTCAGTCAGAAATGGATCAGATGATGTCACACATAGCCCAACAACAGGCTGAGGATGATAGAGCATGTATGTATAGTTTTTTTATACACCTTATTTCTGTTTTTAAAAAGAAAACGTATCAACTTAAAAATAAAGTTTTTTTTGGGGAATATAGTTTTTCTTAGATTTTCACATTAATTTAAGCAGTTTACTTTTTGAAATTAATTGCTGTTGATATGGCCAGTATTAAATTTTCAAATAAGTAATCTGTTTTTTTCATTTGTGTGATTTTTATGGAGACGATTGTTTTTGTTCTAGCTGTTTCATCTATGGCTGAAGAAGAAATTCACATTGGGCAACTTAATGAAGGCCAAAGAGTTGACTATGTTCTACAAGAAGGACCTTTAGAGAGCTTCAATGATTATTTATTTGCTCTTGCCTCTCATTCTTGCTATTGGTAAGTTCAAATCCCCATTGCCTTTTTTGATAAGAGATATACTTTTATATGAAATTAGTCTTAATTATAGTATCAATAATCATCCTTAAAGTAAAGTATAGATCTATACTTTCTTGATAAATATGTGGAATAATTGTGAAGCAGATAAGCGTAATAGATTAATAAAATAGAAATATACTGTATACACCGAGATTTTAGCTTTTGATCTTTAGAATATGGCAGACTGTGTTTCTTTGTGAAATTTAGTCATGGTATATATAGCAGTCATAAATTCTTATAACCTCTTGTTTTATAACTTATAACTAAGTAAAATACTTTTGAAAAACTTTATAAAGAGATTTAAATTTATTTTTTTTGCAGGGAATCTGAGGATACTGCTTTACTTCTGTTAAAAGAAATTTATTCCCCACTGGGATTCAGACCTACAATGCCCGGCGCAGATGGTGGAAAATCTCGTGAGACATCTCTGCCACCGCGTCACACACCAACACTCCCATCGACCAACAACTACCAGGCACCCACTAGTCTCTACCAGCCAGCACCAGCTTTTTCACCCCCGACCTCAAACATTCAAAGCCCCCAGGCAGTGCCCTTTATAACTCCACCCACACAATCAAACTACGGACCATCTCCACCCACTCAATCAAGTTTTGGGCCACTTCCACCCACACAGTCAAATTTTGGGCCACCTCCACCAATGTTTGGTTCCCAGGGCATGCCTACATATCCTTCTCCTGGGGTGAGAAAATCCCCATATGTACCCCCAGATTTTTCAAACCTTCCCGCTAACCAACCAGCTGCACCATCTTTGCCACCCATGGGCCCAGCTATAGCAGGGGGCTATCGTAGAGCACAAACATGATTGCTTTCTCCTTAATGTTTTTAAAATAGAAATTATCTCACAGCCTGACTAGAAATAACACACCAAGCATTCAAAAAACCATTTAGTAGCTTGTTCAGTTAAAAATTCTTTTGCTAATTAGACCAACTGTGTAGGCCTACTATATTTTTTTTATTGTTACTGAAATTAATGATCACAAATGTAATATGTTATTATTAATTTACAAATGAAGGAGCCCATCTATGTTGAATAGTTAAAAGCTATAAATTTGTTTGGGAACACCAAACATGCAATATGTTCTGTTTTAGCTTATATTTACAGTCAATTAATTGCAGGAAACTATTTTTATTATTGAGCTGTAAATGTGAAAATAATTCAGTTTAACATGATTATAAGAATTGCAATAAGTTATGAAGTTAAAGTTGGTAAAAATGTGTGGCATAATGGTATGTGGTGTGTGGTTTAAACAAACAGAAAAAAGCTCCATATTAAACACTTTCAGAGTAAGGTTATAAAGATACTTTTATTTACATGTAAATACAAAACTTGTTTAAAAATCACACTACTTTAGCAGTTCACAAAATTTTATTTATGTTGGAACTCAAGTTGAGAATTTTCACCAACTGGATTTTTTTTTCTGTTTATTGTAACAGTGGTGTAATAATATAGAACTCTGAGAACAATTCGTCAACTCAAAAATGTATAAAAAAAATATTTCTTGATAGTGTGATCATTTTCATTTTATTTGTATATAAATGGACAAACCCTTTTTTAATTTTGAAAACAAACATTTTTGTGTTTAAATTATTGTGTAATAGTAACCCCTTTTAAAGAATTATTTTAGGCAGAAGACTCAAGATCTATGTAATAAATTTAAGTTCTAGTCAGTTATTGTTTTTTTTTGAAAGTCTAGTTCAATTTCATACCTTTCTTAGTAGTGTTGTAGTTCTGGGCTAGGTTTATTTCTTAATGAATAAAAATAATTTTTTTTTTGTTTTACTTAAAATTTTCCAAACTTTAAAATACTTCATTGCTCGTTTTTTAGAATTGAATCTGTTGTATAACAAAAATGAGATAAAGCTAATGCAAAGTACTTCACATCAATTGTGATATCAGTTTGAATAATTTATAATTATCAAATATTGCCTCAATTTGAACCTACTGTATTTGGATGTATAGATAATCTTATAAACTAGATCTATAGGAAAATAGAATATTACACTTTTATAAACTATCCACAGTCTAGTCTTCCTGTACTATTTGTTTTATATTGGTAGGGAATTTAAAGCAATGTAATTTTTCTATAATTTTAAATCTTTTTCTTTAAAAAAAAAGCGAGCCGATTTATAATTAGTTTTCAACATGAGACTATATCATGATCTGATTTTTTAATGACATATTTATATAACCACATAAGTCAGACATGAAACTGTTGAGATATAATTAATAAAACAAGATCAATTATATCTCTTTATCTTATTAACATGTCATGTTAAATTTGTATTTATTTAATGGATGAATGCAATGTTTTGTCTTTTTTCTGTCTGTGATTCTCATTGGTAGTGGTATACATTTTTTGTGATTGATTAAAACTCGGAAAATTGTTTCAAACTAATTTCTAATACTCTCATTAAGGTAAAATTTTGAAAAGTCTGTTATTAAAGATAGATATTGAGCACAATGTTGCATTTTTCTTGGAAATATCGGAAAATAAATAGAATATAAGAATTTATGAACAAAAATGTGTTGTCTTATTTATTTCTCAGTCTCTTATTCCAGTTAAATGTCTAAACTACTCTAAACAGTCCAAAAACAAATAGGCCTGATATATTATCACAAAGCTTAGAAAGGTCAACCAGTGAAGTAGAAATTAAAGCCTTAGAAAATTAGTTTAAAATTAAAACTGAGTGTTCAAATAACAATAATAAGTGGTTACTTTCTAGTTTCTAGTTACTGTTATGACTTGTGTATTACAGTAATACAGATCTAAGTAGGCCTATAGCCTATAGTATATACTATATTTGGACATTATTATTAAATTATTAAAAATAATCAAGATCTATAAAGTAAAGGCCTATATTGTGTATATATAAATCGACATATGTATAAGTTTATATGCAAGTTACATTTATTCGAAATTTTAAAAATAGGCTAGATCTAATATGTTAAAAAAATGCATAGATTAGACCTCTAATAATATTTAGCCCAAAGTACTGTCGAATACCCCTTTGCCAGTTTAGGCGTAGGCCTATGTTTGATAGACGAAATATTTATATTCCTATTACGCAAAAGAGCTACACATTCTTCTGTTGCTAGATTCCGGCGTCACAATGGCGTTCGAACCACTTTGGGAAGATCGAGATGTTCGCTTCGATGTTAGCGCTAGGTAGAAATGTCTTTCAGCTAGCTATCTATCCTTTTAGTAATCTTTATTTAGATCTATATAATATATTATTTGATTAATATTTATTTAATTAGGCCTAAACATTAAAATAACAAACAATCCAAAAACAAAAAACAAAATAAAAAAACTATCTCAGACACAGGCTGTCTAGTGACTAGTGTCTAGTCCAAACTGTAGCTACTAGTCTAGATTCTAGATCTACTAATCTAGCTAGCACTAGTGGCTCCCTTGGACTTACTTAATGGCATGTACTTCGTCTTAAAACAGCTAGATCTAGAACTTAATAATAAAAAAAAGCGTAGGCCCTAGAGACGTTGGTATAAATAATAAACTATAGCCTATAAAAAATATATATAGGCCATAGGCCTAATAATTATTAATTAACAAGGCCTATCCTATGGACTAGAGTTACATTCTATAGTTATATATAGTAGTCCTATATCTTAGTTTACTAGAATATCTACCTAGCTCTCAAACACTTAAAAAAACATTTAAAAAATCACTCGATCTTCTAAAAAACTACTACTAGATCTATATTCTATAGGCCTATCTTTATTAATTAAAATATAACTATTAATACTATACTCTTCTTTATCTCCTGCAAGTAGTAGAAAACAAATATTAATTAAATACAACATTAACTACTACTACCACAAAATCTAGATTCTAGTACCACTACTTGAATTTACTAGTAGATCAAGTACAAGTTGACTGCTACTAGATTTAGCACTTCTACTACTACTAGTGATTACTGCCACTGCTACTTAACAAAAAATACTTAAGAAAATGCATTTAAACCCTTCAGCTGTCTGCCTGTCGTAATTATGCTACTGCTTGATGACAAGGAACTATTACCCACTACATAAAAATAATTATTAATTATTATCCTGGCTTCTTTGTTAAGTTTGTAAAAATTGTATGCATTTGCTGATTCTTTTTTATTACTCTTTTCAATAGTCAAATGAAACTAAGAGCTGGTGAAAAACTCATTGACAGACTGGATGCGGTAGAAGATACAAAAGGAAACAATGGGGACAGAGGTATTTTAATAGTATGAACATTTTTGAATGCTTATGGACCTAGTTAAATCTCAGTAATAAAAAAAAACTTAGCAAAATGCCTACTGACTCCCAACATAATGCCAAACACATTCAGTATTTAATAACACAAATCCCAATATAATCCTATCCCAATATTTTTATCAGGTACGGATGATTGATTGATAACAAAATGTTATAAATTTACTGAAACTTTAAATTACTTAAAAATTTCTCAATGTTTTACAGGACGACTGATGGTAACAAACCTGAGAATAATCTGGCATTCCATAGAGATGCCAAGAGCAAATCTAAGTAAGTAAAAAAAATAATTTTGAGTGTAGCAATCATTTGATGAAAATAATGTTTAACATAAAAAAAAACTTTTTTTTCCAATTATTTTTTCAGCTATAGGATTTAACTGTGTTATTTCAATATCAACCAGAACAGCCCAGTCTGTAAGTTGTTATTATATTGTCATTTATTTGAGATTTTGATCATCATCTCTAAAATAGAGACTTTATGCATAGAGTTAGAAGATTATTATGTTATCTGTTATTTAGTTATACAGCTCCTCTAAAAATATTTTTCCTTGCATCTTCTGTTTTCTGTAAACCAGTCCTAATGACGTTGTAACATATTACTCATTGTACAATTACATTTCCATTTTAGATAAATACTATAATGAATTTTACTTAGCATTGGATCAATTTCTTATGATGAAAATTTTATTAAAAATCTTTACCACTGAGATTATTTTTACTTGGAGGATGTACAAATCTGACAAATTGATTTTATATACCCTGGCAGAAACTTCGAGGTACAGTTGAAGCTTTGTACATACTCTGCAAATGTGGCTCAACTCGTTTCGAGTTTATTTTCACAAATCTGGTAAATCTTCATGTTTGTATTCGTAAGCTTGTTAAAAAAAAGTTGAATTTTCAAAAATAATAAAAGGTAATTTTGATTTATTCTGTTTAAAGGAATAACAAGATTACTTAATCAATTTAATGTTAAGTTAAGTTTGTAAATATTAACAGTTTTGCTACATGCTTTTTTTAAAGGTTCCTGGCTCACCCAGGCTTTTCACTTCAATAATGTCTGTACATAGGTATGACATTTTTTTACTTCTATTATCTTATATAACACATATATATATATATGCCCACTTTAAAGCATAACAGCCACTCATTGTATAAGTTCTGTTGTTAAAGATCTACCCTACATGCTATAAACTAAAGTTTATAGTCACTTGTACTTTAGTATTAGTCTAAAGATTATTTTTTATCCGCTGTAGATTTCAATAAAATTTGACTCCTTGCATAAAATTTACTACTGTCTGGGTTATGTTCATTCACATATTTCTCAGGTACAATATAGCCACATATTTTTCTCGATTATGTTAATCTTTCTGTTAGCTCTTTGTAAAAAAAGTCACTACCTCAAGCCAGTGGTTTGAAAGAAGCACTCCTTAGTTATGTAACTGGCTTAGGTTAGATATGAAAGGTTTTAATTCATTAAAGTTTTTGTTTTACTACTAGAGCTTATGACACGTCCAAAATGTACAGAGATTTAAAATTGCGAGGTGCTCTAATCAAAGACAAACAGATCCGTCTGCTGCCACAAGAGCAGGTCTATGATAAAGTCAATGGTGTCTGGAACTTGTCCAGTGATCAGGTACAGTTTGATTTGTACCAACAATAAAAAAAGGCCGATTCTAGTCGGAATAAGATACGCATGCGATACGCATGTGCAATGGAGAGAAACTACGACTTAGCGGCGATGTTTTCGATGGTACTGCGCAAGCGTGTGTTTACAACAGCAGAACCCTAATAGGCTAATACCAACCCTAATCCTATCCTTAACCCTATCCCTAATCCTATCCCTAACCCTAGCCCTAATCCTATCCCTAACCCTAGCCCTAATCCTATCCCTAACCCTATCCCTAATCCTACCCCTAACCCTCATTCTAGCCCTAACCCTAGCCATAGGTCACTGCGCATGCGCAGGACTATCTTTTGCCGAAAAATCTTATTCCGAGTAGACACTTCGTAAAAAAAATTATCTTTCAGTTTTTTGAATACGGCAAATTAGAATAAATTTTTTTCTTCTCAGGGAAACCTCGGCACATTTTATATAACCAACGTGAGGCTCATGTGGCATGCAAATATCAATGAGGCATTTAATGTCAGCATTCCATATCTTCAGATGGTAAATAGGCTGTTTGTCTACAATTTTAAAATAGACTTGCACAACCAGATGATTTTTTAAATATGTTAATCACTGTTTAGGAATTCTAATCTGTAAAATTATATTTGTAATGTTAGTAAATAGAATATTATAATGTAATTTTTAATTTCGTTTAAGAAAATAAAAATATTAACACCTTGAAAGTTGTAAAAAGATGATAGATATAAAGAGCAGCTTTGGTAGTGAATAGTTTCAGAGTATAGATAGCAATCTCATCACTTTTTATAATCCTTTAAGATAAAATATATGGGATGGAGTGGTCTAGCGGTAGAGAGCTGGACTGCTAACCCGTAAGTCTCGAGTTCGATTCCGGGTTCAAGTCAGTAGACCGTCCCTGAGTCCACCCAACTCTGATGGGTACCTAACTTGTGTTAGGGAAAGTAAAGGCGGCTGGGCATAGTGCTGACCACACTATCTCTTCATATGCCGAGGTCACAGAAACAAGTGAACTCTACTTCACTTGCCCCATAGACCGTCAGGTTTGAAAGGGAAACTTTACTTTTTTTTTTTTTTTTTAAGATAAAATATATGCTTAATATTTAGATTTGGTTAGGCTATCTAGTTCATCTTTGTTAAGCCTCTTAAAAAAAATAGAAAAATGTTTAGTTGTTTGTCAATCGTACAAATATTTTCAGAAAACAGTCAAGGTGCGAGACTCCAAGTTTGGCATTGCTCTTGTTGTGGAGACCACACAAATGGTGAGTTGTCTGGGAATACATAATTGTACATTTTATGAGAGTACAGAAAATAAGTGATTAATGTTATCAAACTAGTATCTAAATATAATTTACTGAAGCTCTGGCGTTTTGTGAGAGAATTTTTCTGTTATTGGTCTTTACTAACCCGATTTAAGAGGGAGATTCAGTGTAAGCAGATTGTTGATAAGCATGTTTGAGACTGGTTGACCCTGTGCCGCTAAACTACTTGCTTTGAATGTTATGAACATTGTCATAGAGCACGCAAGTATTAATCTTAAAGTCTCAAATTTGGTTCCCTCTGAATGGAAGAAAAAAAATCTTCATGTTTATTGTGGGTCTAGGATATCCCCCCCCCCCATCAAGTTAATTACCCTGCCCCCCATCCTGAGGAACTGTAACCCCAACCCCCAGCCACAAACCTTTGGCCAACCCTAACCCTAAGTGGGCGGGAGGTAATTGACAGGGAGTGGGGGTATAATGTCCTGCTCCGTATATTGTTAATATTGTTATTCTAAAGTGAAAGCTCAATGAACACCTTGTATTGTAGAGTGGAGGTTATGTGCTGGGGTTTCGTATAGATCCTGTTGAGAAACTACAAACTACAGCCAAGATGATACAAAACCTACACAGAGTCTACAGTGCTTGTCCTATCTTTGGGGTGGAGTTTGAAGTGGATGATAAGGTAACATTTGCAACAGTAACAAGTGCTGGTTTTATATGGAGTGGATGATAAGGTAACATTTACATCAGTACCAAGTGTTGGTTTTTTTTATAGAGTGGATGATTTGGTAACATTTACATCAGTAACAAGTGTTGGTTTTATATATTGGTAACATTTACATCAGTAACAAGTGTTGGTTTTATATAGAGTAGATAACTGGTTACATTTACATCAGTAACAAGTGTTGGTTTTATATATTGGTAACATTTACATCAGTAACAAGTGTTGGTTTTATATGGAGTGGATGATTGGTAACATTTACATCAGTAACAAGTGTTGGTTTTATATGGAGTGGATAATTGGTTACATTCATTGACTGTCAGAGATGTTTTAAGGATCTGTTGATGAAATTAAAGGACAGGGTTGCTTTTCTAGAAGGTTCCCTTTAAATCCTAATGACAAGTCTAGATTTTATTTTGATGTGTAGTATCTAAGTAAGAAAAAACATTCAATTTATTATTTTGGTTAGAAAACAGCAAGCTTCTCCACCAACTATATGTCTTTGTTAATAGCTGTGCTTATAAGTTAGTTACTTTTTTACTGTAGCTTGTAGATAGTTTGTAGTCTGTAAATGTTGTTGTAGTTGATGCTTGAAGTCATTGTTTGAGAAGTGGCCAGATTTTTCATTAAAGTGGGTAGAGACCAATAAACACGAACAGAAAAGTTTCCTAAATTATGTGTAACTAACATGTTAGTGAGAGTGTATATATTATTTCAGCCTCAGACTACAGATCTGGTGACCAGGGAAGTTGTCCAGGATGATATAGAGGTGGAGAATGATGGACAAACTGATGCCTTTGCTGTAAGTACTTCTACAAGAACTCCAACTTTTGAACTTTTTGTGTGTTATAGTTTAGTTTTGCTACTAGCCCAAACTAAACTAAATAGTGTCCATTCTAGGCAAGGGAGTGAATCCATCCATTTATTTTACAACCTTGATGTAAAGAAAACACAATTGTCCATGTTTCAGGCTTACTTTGCTGATGGCAATAAGGACCAGGATAGAGAGCCAGTCTACTCAGAGGAGCTTGGGCTGGCCATAGAGAAGTTGAAGGATGGGTTTACAATAGCTGGTTTGTGGGAGGTCATCCCATCTCAGTAGTTGAAGGATGGGTTTACAATAGCTGGTTTGTGGGAGGTCATTCCATCTCAGTAGTTGAAGGATGGGTTTACAATAGCTGGTTTGTGGGAGGTCATACCATCTCAGTAGTTGAAGGATGGGTTTACAATAGCTGGTTTGTGGGAGGTCATACCATCTCAGTAATTTATAACTCAACTATTGGAGGTCCCCCCCCCCCATCTCAGTAATTTATAAGTCAACTATTGGAGGTGCCCCCATCTCATTTATATGTCAACTATTGGAGGTCCCCCCCTTCTCAGTAATTTATAAGTTAACTATTGGAGGTCCCTCCATCTCAGTAATTTATAAGTCAACTATTGGAGGTGCCCCATCTCAGTAATTTAAGTCAACAACTGTGATATGTTTGTTACAGTTTTTCAATCTTAAAGAGAAAGAAAAACTGTGGCTGACTAATTTGTTTCATATGTGATAAATATTTTTATATTCCTGCAATGTATAATTTCTAAACCCAAAAGCAACATCTGTTACAACAGATACAACATTTACCATCTTTTATCTGAAACAATAGATTGTTGTTGTGTTTCTGTGAAGTTGTACAAAGACCTTTCTAGTCTCTTGTGGGTTGTTCCTGATAGGCGGAGAAAATAATGAGCCATAGAACTAATTAACAAATAGCTCTGTCTAAGTAAAAATTTGATTAAACTCGTTGTTTAATATCATCAGGCTATTATTAAAACAATTGTATTAATAATTAATGTTTTTTTACAGTTTTTAAAAAAAAAACATTTTGATAAATATAAGTAAGTGCAGAATTTTAAATAGGACAAACTTACAAGACTAAAATTATCTTAAAAAATATTCACCGGAAAAACAATTAATTATAAATTTTACGAGGCACAGCTAAGTCATCCCATATTTGTTGTAATCATATTATATCTCATTGTAATATTTTGTAATTAATAATGCTACTATCATGACAATTATTGTTTTTGTATTTTGTTCTAATTTGTTGCTCTAGAGAGCATGTATTAATTTGTATGAAGAAAGAACATCAAGACAATATTTGTTCTTGAAACAGATTTGCTTGACTCAGTCCACTGTGCGTTGAATTTAAATTAACACTTATATTTTTAGTTTAGAGATTAAAGCATTTTAAAATTAACCCAATAAATGGGACGGTGTGGCCCAGCTTTAGATTTAGAGCGCTAGGCATGAACGTCTGGAGTTTGAATCCAGGTTTAAGTCAGTAGAATGTTCCTGAGTGCACCCAGCTCTGATGGGTACCTAACTCATGTTAGCAAAAGTAACGGCAGCTGGGCATAGTGACCACATTATTACTTCATATGCTGAAGTCACAGAAACAGGGTCTACTTCACTTGCCCAATGGACTGTCAGGTTTGAAAAGGGAACTTAACTTATTTCTACTTAATGAATAAAAACCTAATTTGTTGATATTAATTTTAGTGTCATTTGTGAACTAGCTTTAAGATTTCGGAGAAATTAAAGACACTTAATTGATCTGTTTTAAAACACAAATTCATGTTAGGTATACATCCCTCTATAGATCATAACAAGTACTCTAATTAATTTATCAGTCGTTAATTTTCAAAATCATTACAAAAATAGATTAAATGATGAGGGTGTATAAATACATGTATCATTTGAGCTCAGCAATAATCATTTTTGAGGACCCTTGAACACGTTTTAGCTTAACACTTGATGACTTGGGGTGGCATCTTGTATTGATGTACGTTTCAGTAGCTGGTGCCAGATTTATGTGTGCCAGATTTATGTGTGTCAGTAGCTGGTGCCAGATTTATGTGTGTCAGTAGCTGGTGCCAGATTTATGTGTGTCAGTAGCTGGTGCCAGATTTATGTGTGTCAGCTGGTGCCAGATTTATGTGTGTCAGATTTTTGTGTGTCAGTAGCAGGTGCCAGATTTATGTGCGAGTGGATGTCCATAAAACTTGACCCTCTGTTGGAAGATGTCTACAGACTTAGTTGTAAAAATATATCTGATCAGATAAACTCAAGCGTGAACGAGGAAGAAACAAAATAAAAAACTAAGATCAATTGAAAAAGATCAGTTTTTAAATGAAACAATGTTTAATAAGCTTTTAATTTTAAGTGAGAGCCTCAAGAGTTTTTAAACTGACATTTAAAAAAAAAAAACTCCCAAAAAAATTAAAGGAAGACATGCATTTTTTAAACTGGTATTTACTGTAAGCTAGACATCACTCATCATCTTAGCCTAAAGTCTTATCTGAAATACAAACCCTTCATAATTAAAAGTATGTTACTTCGATTTACACTAGCCTGCTTAAAGCTATACAACCAATCTATCGATACAAAGTTGCTGTTATTGATTATATGACGGCCATCAAAAATTGAGTAAGCAAATAAATGTCTAAAGAGGATGCATGTACTTCATTTAGTAAATTTATCCATGACTTTCATTGGCAGATTGTCTAAAGCTGATAGCAGAAGGATGAAAACAACGATTCATGGCAGTGTTATTTTTAGTATAGAGCCGTATGAGGTCATTATCACGAGTTTACTAATTACGTATTTTATATGGATAAGGGTTCGACTTATGTAAACATTTTAAAACTGATTTATCTACAGATTGAGGTGTGAGGAAAAAAATGCGTTCTACCTTGTTTCAGTAGTTCAAAGATTGGCTTTACATTTAAGGGGTGTAGATGCTTTACCTTTGATTGTGTGGATGTTTTTACATTTAATATGTGAATGCGCTACAATTATGGTGTGATAACTTTACCTTTAGTCTTTAGTGTGTTCAAGATGATACATTTTTCCCTTTTTGCAGTCGGTGTGTCCCCCCCCCCCCGGGTGATAGCTTTAATCTGTGCACACTTTAATAACATTGTAACAATGTTATCTATAGATCTATAGTCGGTTATTAAAACAGTTGAGTGTAGCTATTTTCGGGATCATCTCCTTGTATTCACGACGCCCATTGTGTGGGCCTAGAATTCTATGTGTGGTTCCTTTACTGTGTGGTTGTGTCGCCACGGATGTGTCACCTATGCATGTGTTATCATCATAGCATGTATGAAGCTTTCTGTTTACTGTATATTCTAAATGTATTATTGTTTTGTCAACGTGGGTGGAAACAAACAAATCTGGGGTTCTCTAAAGTAGAAGAGTTGTAATGGTGTTACAGGTATAAGAAAATACCATGTAACATACCTAAAGCACTTAGGAAATTATAATTTTTAAATAATAATTAAATAGTAAATAAATAAGCAACTCGAAATAGATTTGAAATTTATTTACTGAAATGTACCCAAACGACAGCAACTCTACTCTTGTAGCATTATAAATTATAATACAGATCACAGATTTCCCCTATAGGAAGAAGTTTTTCTGAAAGGTACAAGGAACATGTTGATTCAGATATTACGTGTGCTTCTTAAAATGGCAACTCGTATCTCACAGTAAAATAAGGCACTCAAAATTTCTTTCACAGAGGTGTAGTCAGGGTATGGCTACATGTTGGGCTTAAAAAAATGTCTATATATATATATATATATATATATATATATATATATATATATATATATATATATATATATATATATATATATATATATATATATATATATATATATATATATATATATATATATATATATATACTATTTGAAAACTAAAAGCACAGAAAGGGATTCTATACAAACTATATATTTGTTTCGTCCAATTGGGGAGAGAGGGGGGGGGGGGGAAATCAACTTGCTGCGGGGTGTGGGTGATGTGTGTGTGTGTGTGGGTGGGGGGGGGGGGGAGTAATGCTTTAAAAAATCCTACTCAGCCTGGGACTTGAGAGACCCACACCTGATGTTTCAGATCTATCTAGGGCGCTAGGCGTGTACCTAAACTTTTGCAATTCACGCTGTTATTTTCTAAACTGACTCATTTCAACAACAGCTTTCAACACACACTGAAGATCGATGAAAAAAAGAACTTGAAAATTGCGAGCCACACGCCATACCAGCTCTACTTTCGATTTCCCCTACTTTGCCTGTGATTTAACTCTAGCTTTAAACTATTCAATATTGACAGCTGGCGACAGATGTTTTGGAGATTGTCGGCAACAGCTCAGATATTAACAGATTTTACAGTTTAAAAAAATTGAAAAAATATTTAAGGGCACAGCAGCTGAATATTTATTTTGCTGTAGTGTGTTTTTAAAAAAAAACTGTTTTAGTGTTTAGGTCTGAAATTAGTTTTGTTGTGGTGTGGTTGTTTTGAAGTAACATCACACGCTCGACTTTTGGGTACTTTGTTATTGTCTTTCGATTAAAGTTAACTTTTTAGTTTAATTTTTAAACGTTAACGAATAGGTCCATTGAGGAGCCGACACAGAATATATTTTTATAAAATGTCACTAATTAAAACGGTACAAAGAAAAATGGTACAACCGGTAACGGTACAAAGGAAAATGGTACAAATGAAATAGATTCTTGTGACAATACATTATGCACGAAAATGAAGCTATTTTAAAAATCAAATAAGGTACAAAACGGTACAAAGAAAAATGGTACAACCGGTAACGGTACAAAGGAAAATGGTACAAATGGAATAGATTCTTGTGACAATACATTAAGCACGAAAATGAAGCTATTTTAAAAATCAAATAAGAAAAAATGTACATATGAATAATATGAATATTTTTCATTAAAATATGTTCAATATAAATAAATAAAAAAATTGTGTTTGCAATTGGTTTTTTGAAGAAATAAAAAAAAAACAACAAACTTTACAGTATCTTTCGGTGTTAAAAAAACCACAAATTGTTAAACCACTCTTAAATTTTTTGTTTGTTTGGACGCCTTAAAAAATTACAGGAAGACATGGTTATTCAATATCTCAGTTCCCCAACATCTGTGTCAAAATGTCCAAATTCACAGAGTACTGCATGCGAATTAGATCAGTTGTACTCCTGACGTAGCATCTTTGACTCTTCCTCCCTGAGCTGGGAGTAGCCACGCCTGTAGTTGGCGTACAGATGGCGTCGGTACTTCTTCAGGCCCACGTAGGCCACCGCCACCAGCCCCAACACCAGCACTATCGTCATGGAGATGAGACCCAGCAGCATGGTCCGGTCTGTGTCCACTCCGTACGTCTGGTTACAGCAAGTCATTGGAGGGTGGGGAGGGGGGAAGAAAGAACAGTAGATAGAGAGATAAAAAACATCTACACAACCCACATGCCTATGATAATAGATATCTAATTATAATAGGTTAAAATCAAGTATAACTTAAAAGTGTCGGATAATTTATTGTTGGTGTACCTATACATGAAGCATATACTGCTCATGCGATAGGACAGACAATGACAGACAATGACAGACAATGACAGGCAATGACAGACAATGACAGACAATGACAGACAATAACAGACCATAACAGACAGTGACAATGACAGACAATGATAGACATTGACACTTAATGACAGACAATGACGGACAATTGCAGACAATGACAATTACAGACAATGACAGACAATAAAAGACAACGACAGACAATGAAAAACAATGACAGACAATGACAGACAATGACAGACAATGACAGACAATGACAGACAATGACAGGCAATGCCAGACAATGACAGACAATAACAGACAATGACAATGTCAGACAATGACAGACAATGTCAGACAATAACAGATAATTACAAACAATGATAAACAATGACTAGCTTAAAGTTCAGTGCTGGTAAATTGGTGGGATTAAATTTTAATAACGTTTTTACTCCATCCAACCCAAAGCTGTTGTAAACAGATAGTCTACAGCCCCCCCCCCCTCCCCTAACGAAATGGAATTTATATAGAAAATGTATATTTTTTAGTGTCCGCCCCCTCCCCGAAATTTTGTCCGCCCCCTCCCCCCCCCCCCCCGAAAATGTCAAGTGCCCCCCTTCCTCCCCGGAGAAAAAAGTCTGGAAGAAACACTGGTTGTAATAAGACAAACAAGGGAACACTAATCTATCCCAACTAACCCAGGGCTGTTATAGGCCTACTAGAACAATCAATAAGCACCAATATATCCCCACATGTACATGAACCCTCTACAAAATGAGGCATGGTGCAAATTAATTTTTTTTTTATTTGTTCGCATCTAAAGCATGTAACACTGATGAGATTTTTTGTAGCGCGTTAAAAAAATCCTGAAAAAAAAGAACTCGCGTAATAAAACAACTCTCACGTTACAGTTCATAAACCGTTTCCATCCCTCAAACCGGATGCTGGACGCCGCCCATATTTCAATGGCTGTCTAGATTTATTATGTCATTAGACATATACAGTGTTAAGTCGACTCAAGTTAGTTATTAAAAAACAATTGCAGGAAATAACTCACATTTTCGTTATTGATTTCCGAGTTATCCCCAGCGTATTCGTCTTGGTTGAAAACTTTAGGGTTGACCTCCTCGTTATTTATGAAGGCTGGGGTTGAGATCTCGGCATCTCCGAAAGCTGGGGTTGGCTGTTGGGTGGAGAGGTCTTTGTCCAGCTTCTCCAGCTCTTCAACCAGCTCTTCCAGCTCTTGCTCGTAGTCCTTGCTCAGGTCGTCGGAGTAGTCGCCGTAGTAGGAGGGCGTGGTGGGCATGAGGGTCTGACACTGGTAGGTGATGTTGCACTTCAGTACCATAGAGCTGGCGTTGGTGGAGATCACTCTCCAAGCATCGTAACTTTGGGTACAGAAAGTTGGGGGTAGAGGCGTTTACAGTTGTGTAATGAATTAAAGAGTATACGAGATTTTTTTTTTATAATTGTATGATAAATATATAAGTTGAGGCATTTGTAACTGTTTGATAAATATAAGAGTAGAGTCGTTTATAATTGAGTAATAAATATACGAGTAGAGGCGCTAACAGGCTATACCAGGTTAGGCGTTTTGTAATTGGGGGCGTCCATAAATGACGTCACACTCGTAGGGAGGAGGGGGGTCCGTAATTTTGTGCCGGTGTGTGATGAGGGGGAGTGGGGGTCCAGATGGTGCGACGTCACACTTTTGCATTATAAAAAAGCAATGTTAGAAAACGAATTTTAGCCATTATTTCGCGTTTTATAAAACTGTTTTAATAAATTGTAATAGGAATTGATTAAAATACTCTATTTTGACAGAGTTCAGACAAGATTTGAGAAAAATATCGATGTTTAAAAAAAAATTCAACTGCAATTTTTTGGGGGGTTGTAGGCTGAGATGTGACGTCATTTTAGAGGGGGGGGGGTTGGCTTTTTGTGACGATGTGTGACGGAGGGGAGGGGGAGGTAAAAATCGTCAAAAAAGCATGACGTCATGTATGGATGAGCCCTTGTGTAATAATATACGAATACAGTCGTTCAAATTCATTGTGTGATAAATAAGGAAGTAGTGGGGTAATGCAGCTGATTTCTAATAATCCCTTTTTGGGAATGTATTGAATACAATTTTGATAGGATTTAGCTGACCAGTCGGCTACACCCAGCAACTGTTAGATTTTCAGTGCTCAACTTTGAAGTTATGAATGTTCTATGTTACATTACTTTACTGCCAAGTGTCGACTTACCTTTCCAGTAGAACCCTTTGGTCAAAGTAGCACACATCGTCCGCACAAAGGTAAGTTTTGGTCATCTTGAAATATGATGGACACACACAAATTACAATTTTGTTATCAGGGGGTAGGAAGATAATTATCATCTTTAAATTAATTAACCAAAAAGACAACTAATGTTTACTGTAACAATCTAGTCGGAGACAATATCTACATGAAAAAAAACATCTTTTTTTGTATTACATTTTTAATGACTTAGACATATTTAATTATTAGAGCCACTTATCATAATCACGATAAATAATATAAAAATATAATGTAATGTAATATAAAAATTTCATAGAAATGCTTTTAAATTATATAAATAAACTTTTCACATACTTTAAATTATTTCTCTTCATATTTCAACCCCCCCCCCAATGTTTATAGAACGACAACGGTACACACAGTTGATGAAATAAATAAAACAATTGTTTTAAAGTAACAAATCATGATATAGTCACAACCTACCTGAACTTTGTATTCATTGCAGTCATCGTGGGCCAAAGCTTCTTTTTGCTGGTGGTGTGGTAGGATAAGATGATTTAGGATAAGGCCACATTATGGGATGTGTTGACATTACAGAATGAGGCCACATTATGGGATATGATGACATTTTCACATGATGTGGCCTGATTCTGTAATGTCAACATATCCCATAATATGATGTCATTAAAGAATGAGGCCACATTATGGGATATAATGACATTACAGAATGAGGCCACATTATGGGATATGATGACATTACAGAATGAGGCCACATTATGGGATATGATGACATTACAGAATGAGGCCACATTATGGGATATGATGACATTACAGAATCAGACCACATTATCGGGTATTATGGGACGGATAAGCCTAGCGGTACATAGCAAGACCGCTAACCCGAAATTCTCGAGTTCGAAACCGGGTTCAAGTCAGTAGACAGTCCTTGAGTCCACCTAGCTCTAACGGGTACCAGGTACACCAATGCTGTTGTGTAGCTTTCTTTCTATCCAGACCTCCACCAGAGATACAAGGCATCACAAGCGTGAACCACAATCACATGGTGAGCTGATACATAGCATTGTCTTAGTTTAGGAGATTTTAAAAAGTTAAATATCTTATCCTAGTGACGAGTTGATACATATCATTGGCTTAGTTTAGGAGATTTTAATTAAGTTACGTCTTCATCTTTTCCTAGAGACAAGCTGATAACTGCATTGATATATATATATATATATATATATATATATATATATATATATATATATATATATATATATATATATATATATATATATATATATATATATATATATATGTTAATATGAAAAAGAAATGAATGAAAAATGTAATTAAAATCCAAACAAAGAGTAGAAACAGAATAAATCTTTACCGTTCCGTTAGGGTGGGTCAAGTCGGCATATGTAACGTAAAGTGCTTCAAGTGTTCTGGCACAGCAGTCCTGAGTTCCTTCACTACACAGTCCACACAGCAAGTTGATGACATTGGTCAACAACGTCAGTTCCTGCATAAGGGAAACGGCTGAGGGCTCATTGTATGTATGTTTAAGAATATAATTTTTTTTTTAAATTTAAAAAAAAATTAATTAATTAATTTTTTTTTAGAATATAATAATATTTTTTTATGCTTATATATGAACAAAAGTTGACTAACATGAGCAAGTAAATTAAATAAAATAAATAAATAAATAAATATATATATATATATAATATAAACATATAGTGTTTATATATAAGTGTTACCTTTTCATCGCAGTTTTCCCGTAATCTCATCATGCTGTTCAATGCAGACCACACTTCAGTGTAACAAAACGGCCCTCGGTCATCAAATTTCTTCAGATGAGAATAACATTAAACTATACAACACATTTCTCAGATGAAAGTAACAAAACTACAGAGTTATTACCCTTGGTTGGGTTACTTCCCTTATTTTCTCTTACCACAGTAAATAAAATTAGTTGGTCAACACACGAGAGTGAGGTAAATGGGCCATATTTTAAACTGGGCTAATGTGACTCAATGTTTGGATTTTATGAAATCTTTTTAAAATTTGTATTTGACTCCGGATTTTTTAAAAATAAGCTAAATGAGCTGCGCTACATACATGATCCATGTGGGTTGAAGAAGTAGAAAAACAACTTCTCCAAACCGATGGAAAATTCAATCAATAGTAATATTACAACCAGCAATCATCCAATCATTGGCAGTACAATCAATAATCATTCAATCTTTGGCATAGCAACCAAAGTCATTCAACCTTTGACTACAAAAAAAAAAAAAAAACAACAACATCCAACCATCCATATCACAACCTACCAACCATGGACTTGACAACCCCACCAACCATCCTACCATCGACATGACAACCCACCAATCATAAACATGACACCCCATAAATCATGAACAAGACATCCCACCAACCTTGGACATGACAACCAACCAACCATGGACATGACACCCCATAAATCATGAACAAGACATCCCACCAACCATGACCATGACAACCCACCAACCATGGACTTGACAACCCCACTGTCACAGGCCTATCTCCTACCTTTTATATTATACATACAAAATAAAAAAGCAAGCCTTCTTTTGCAGTTTTTCATATTTATTTTATTTTTACACAGGCTGCGTGTTCACTACGCCATCTTCTTGCCTCCTCCACTTGTTCCCCTCGCGCATGCGCACAGTCATTCTCTCCCTGATGCAACACCCACACTCCCAAGATACAATCTACCAAATATTTCACTGTTATACCCACCAACCATCCTACCATCGACATGACAATCCACCAATCATAAACATGACATCCCACCAACCATGACCATGACAACCCACCAACCATGGACTTGACAACCCCACCAACCATCCTACCATCGACATGACAATCCACCAATCATAAACATGACATCCCACCAACCATGACCATGACAACTCATCAACCATGGACTTGACAACCCCACCAACCATCCTACCATCGACATGACATCCCACCAACCATGGACATGACAACCCACCAACCATGAACATAACAACCCACCAACCATGAACATAACAACCCACCAACCATGGACATGACAACCCACCAACCATGGACATAACAATCCACCAACCATGGACATGACAACCCACCAACCATGGACATGACAACCCACCAACCATGAACATGACATCCCACCAACCATGAACATGACAACCCACCAACCTGAGTGTATCCACTAGACAGACACCAGCTTCCCCGTCCACAGTCCGTCTGAAGCAGCTTCACAACGTCCGGCTTGAAGACCGACTCCAGCAGATACCTCACCGTGGTGTTGCCTTCAAACGGAACATCCCCAGGGTAGTAGTCTCGTAGGTCCGCCACATGCTGACAGTCCACCGATATTTGCTGACCTGGCGTTGTACTCACAACATTCTCCGCCTCAGTGTCCGAGTTAAAAAGCTGCCCGATTTTTTCTACAATATACGAGGCGAGATCGTCTGCTTCCCCGTCAGTACCGGAGTCGATGTTGGTGGAGTTGTCTGCGACGGGAGACGCCTGCTGGTCTGGAGTGTTCGTGTCGGATTTGGCAAGCCCCGGGGTCGTGTCGTTCGGGAGTGAGGGTGCGGCGGTGGTGTTTGTTTGAGAACCCCCGACCACATCGGTTTCTTGGCCGTTTAACAGAATGGTCAAACACAACACCAAACACACTCTGAACACAACGTAAGCCATGGTTAAACTTCTCCAAATCTTTCACCTTAAACCATTCACAATTCACAATATGTTATAATTTAAAGAATATTTCTTCACGATTTAATCAAGAAAAATTTAAAACTAATAATATCCAGTCTAATAACGAACGGTAAACGTATTCCAACTGTATATCAACACAGTATTAAAAAAGACCAACGCTTAAAATAAGGCGAGGGTAAAAATATTTTGAATCGATTTTTCAATCCATATGCAACAAGCTGTCCTACACCATCTGCAACTTTGCGACGAATGTATCAATACACACCACCAACTTCTTTTCTTAGTCGTATTTTATAAACCTCACGTGTTTGATACGTGATTGGCTTATGCCCCCCCCCTCTCCTATTTACCCCCACCACAACACATTGTGTATTTACTAACACCAGTAATTACCGAAGTACACAGCCATTATAAACTGAAACGTGTACACATGTTTTTTCCTGAAAGAAATAGAAAATATACACATAATTAATTGACTGTAAGATGTAATAATTGTATAAAAGGAAATTCAAAACAAGTAAAAAGTAAAAAAGAAAATATTTCGAAGCCTCAAACAATACTCAACTTCAGATGAAAAATCGGTTTTACAGTGTAGTGAGTTATTTTATGGGTTAGAAACGAATTATCCTTTGATAGAGAAGGCTCAAAGGTAAGCCAAGGTTCAGGTTGATAGATGATGTGGAGACAGGCCTAGGGCAACTTGGTGTCTCAGGTGTTGATAGATGATGTGGAGACAGGGCTACGGCAACTTGGTGTCTCAGGTGTTGATAGATGATGTGGAGACAGACCTACGGCAACTTGGTGTCTCAGGTGTTGATAGATGATGTGGAGACAGACCTACGGCAACTTGGTGTCTCAGGTGTTGATAGATGATGTGGAGACAGACCTATGGCAACTTGGTGTCTCAGGTGTTGATAGAAGATGTGGAGACAGACCTAGGGCAACTTGATGTCTCAGGTGTTGATAGATGATGTGGAGACAGACCTAGGGCAACTTGGTGTCTCAGGTGTTGATAGATGATGTGGAGACAGACCTACGGCAACTTGGTGTCTCAGGTGTTGATAGATGATGTGGAGACAGACCTAGGGTAACTTGGTGTCTCAGGTGTTGATCGATGATGTGGAGACAGGGCTACGGCAACTTGGTGTCTCAGGTGTTGATAGATGATGTGGAGACAGACCTGCGGCAACTTGGTGTCTCAGGTGTTGATAGATGATGTGGAGACAGACCTACGGCAACTTGGTGTCTCAGGTGTTGATAGATGATGTGGAGACAGACCTACGGCAACTTGGTGTCTCGTGTGTCTCAAGTGTTGATAGAAGATGCGGAGACAGACCTACGGCAACTTGGTGTCTCAGGTGTCTCAGGTGTTGATAGATGATGTGGAGACAGACCTACGGCAACTTGGTGTCTCAGGTGTTGATACATGATGTGGAGACAGACCTAGGGCAACTTGGTGTCTCAGGTGTTGATAGATGATGTAGAGACAGACCTAGGGCAACTTGGTGTCTCAGGTGTTTATAGATGATGTAGAGACAGACCTAGGTCAACTTGGTGTCTCAGGTGTTGATAGATGATGTGGAGACATACCTACGGCAACTTGGTGTCTCAGGTGTTGATAGATGATGTGGAGACAGACCTACGGCAACTTGGTGTCTCATGTGTCTCAGGTGTTGATAGATGATGTGGAGAGAGACCTACGGCAACTTGGTGTCTCAGGTGTTGATAGATGATGTGGAGACAGACCTGCGGCAACTTGGTGTCTCAGGTGTTGATAGATGATGTAGAGACAGACCTAGGGCAACTTGGTGTCTCAGGTGTCTCAGGTGTTGATAGATGATGTGGAGACAGACCTACGGCAACTTGGTGTCTCAGGTGTTGATAGATGATGTGGAGACAGACCTACGGCAACTTGGTGTCTCAGGTGTTGATAGATGATGTAGAGACAGACCTAGGGCAACTTGGTGTCTCAGGTGTTGATAGATGATGTGGAGACAGACCTGCGGCAACTTGGTGTCTCAGGTGTTGATAGATGATGTGGAGACAGACCTACGGCAACTTGGTGTCTCAGGTGTTGATAGATGATGTGGAGACAGACCTACGGTAACTTGGTGTCTCAGGTGTTGATAGATGATGTGGAGACAGACCTAGGGCAACTTGGTGTCTCAGGTGTTGATAGATGATGTGGAGACAGACCTAGGGCAACTTGGTGTCTCAGGTGTTGATAGATTATGTGGAGACAGACCTACGGCAACTTGGTGTCTCAGGTGTTGATAGATGATGTGGAGACAGACCTAGGGCAACTTGGTGTCTCAGGTGTTGATAGATGATGTGGAGACAGACCTACGGCAACTTGGTGTCTCAAGTGTTGATAGATGATGTAGAGACAGACCTAGGGCAACTTGGTGTCTCAAGTGTTGATAGATGATGTAGAGACAGACCTACGGAAACTTGGTGTCTCAGGTGTTGATAGATGATGTAGAGACAGACCTAGGGCAACTTGGTGTCTCAGGTGTTGATAGATGACGTGGAGACAGACCTACGGCAACTTGGTGTCTCGTGTGTCTCAAGTGTTGATAGAAGATGTGGAGACAGACCTACGGGAACTTGGTGTCTCAGGTGTTGATAGATGATGTGGAGACAGACCTACGGCATCTTGGTGTCTCAGGTGTTGATAGATGATGTGGAGACAGACCTATGGCAACTTGGTGTCTCAGGCGTTGATAGATGATGTGGAGACAGACCTACGGCAACTTGGTGTCTCAGGTGTTGATAGATGATGTGGAGACAGACCTACGGCAACTTGGTGTCTCAGGTGTTGATAGATGATGTGGAGACAGACCTACGGCAACTTGGTGTCTCAGGTGTTGATAGATGATGTGGAGACAGACCTAGGGTAACTTGGTGTCTCAGGTGTTGATAGATGATGTGGAGACAGGGCTACGGCAACTTGGTGTCTCAGGTGTTGATAGATGATGTGGAGACAGACCTGCGGCAACTTGGTGTCTCAGGTGTTGATAGATGATGTGGAGACAGACCTAGGGCAACTTGGTGTCTCAGGTGTTGATAGATGATGTGGAGACAGACCTACGGCAACTTGGTGTCTCGTGTGTCTCAAGTGTTGATAGAAGATGTGGAGACAGACCTACGGCAACTTGGTGTCTCAGGTGTCTCAGGTGTTGATAGATGATGTGGAGACAGACCTACGGCAACTTGGTGTCTCAGGTGTTGATACATGATGTGGAGACAGACCTAGGGCAACTTGGTGTCTCAGGTGTTGATAGATGATGTAGAGACAGACCTAAGGCAACTTGGTGTCTCAGGTGTTTATAGATGATGTAGAGACAGACCTAGGGCAACTTGGTGTCTCAGGTGTTGATAGATGATGTGGAGACATACCTACGGCAACTTGGTGTCTCAGGTGTTGATAGATGATGTGGAGACAGACCTACGGCAACTTGGTGTCTCATGTGTCTCAGGTGTTGATAGATGATGTGGAGACAGACCTAGGGCAACTTGGTTTCTCAGGTGTTGATAGATGATGTGGAGACAGACCTAGGGCAACTTGGTGTCTCAGGTGTTGATAGATGATGTGGAGACAGACCTGCGGCAACTTGGTGTCTCAGGTGTTGATAGATGATGTAGAGACAGACCTAGGGCAACTTGGTGTCTCAGGTGTCTCAGGTGTTGATAGATGATGTGGAGACAGACCTACGGCAACTTGGTGTCTCAGGTGTTGATAGATGATGTGGAGACAGACCTACGGCAACTTGGTGTCTCAGGTGTTGATAGATGATGTAGAGACAGACCTAGGGCAACTTGGTGTCTCAGGTGTTGATAGATGATGTGGAGACAGACCTACGGCAACTTGGTGTCTCAGGTGTTGATAGATGATGTGGAGACAGACCTACGGCAACTTGGTGTCTCAGGTGTTGATAGATGATGTGGAGACAGACCTACGGTAACTTGGTGTCTCAGGTGTTGATAGATGATGTAGAGACAGACCTAGGGCAACTTGGTGTCTCAGGTGTCTCAGGTGTTGATAGATGATGTGGAGACAGACCTACGGCAACTTGGTGTCTCAGGTGTTTATAGATGATGTGGAGACAGACCTACGGCAACTTGGTGTCTCAGGTGTTGATAGATGATGTAGAGACAGACCTAGGGCAACTTGGTGTCTCAGGTGTTGATAGATGATGTGGAGACAGACCTACGGCAACTTGGTGTCTCAGGTGTTGATAGATGATGTGGAGACAGACCTACGGCAACTTGGTGTCTCAGGTGTTGATAGATGATGTGGAGACAGACCTACGGTAACTTGGTGTCTCAGGTGTTGATAGATGATGTGGAGACAGACCTACGGCAACTTGGTGTCTCAGGTGTTGATAGATGATGTGGAGACAGACCTAGGGCAATTTGGTGTCTCAGGTGTTGATAGATGATGTGGAGACAGACCTACGGCAACTTGGTGTCTCAGGTGTTGATAGATGATGTGGAGACAGACCTGCGGCAACTTGGTGTCTCAGGTGTTGATAGATGATGTAGAGACAGACCTACGGCAACTTGGTGTCTCAGGTGTTGATAGATGATGTGGAGACAGACCTACGGCAACTTGGTGTCTCAGGTGTTGATAGATGATGTGGAGACAGACCTACGGCAACTTGGTGTCTCGTGTGTCTCAAGTGTTGATAGAAGATGTGGAGACAGACCTACGGCAACTTGGTGTCTCAGGTGTTGATAGATGATGTGGAGACAGACCTACGGCATCTTGGTGTCTCAGGTGTTGATAGATGATGTGGAGACAGACCTATGGCAACTTGGTGTCTCAGGTGTTGATAGATGATGTGGAGACAGGGCTAGGGCAACTTGATGTCTCAGGCGTTGATAGATGATGTGGAGACAGACCTACGGCAACTTGGTGTCTCAGGTGTTGATAGATGATGTGGAGACAGACCTACGGCAACTTGGCGTCTCGTGTGTTGATAGATGATGTGGAGACAGACCTAGGGCAACTTGGTGTCTCAGGTGTTGATAGATGATGTGGAGACAGACCTACGGCAACTTGGTGTCTCAGGTGTTGATAGATGATGTGGAGACAGACCTGCGGCAACTTGGTGTCTCAGGTGTTGATAGATGATGTAGAGACAGACCTACGGCAACTTGGTGTCTCAGGTGTTGATAGATGATGTGGAGACAGACCTACGGCAACTTGGTGTCTCAGGTGTTGATAGATGATGTGGAGACAGACCTACGGCAACTTGGTGTCTCGTGTG